TTTAATAATTAAATTTTGAATTACAATTTATTTATGTTTCCTAAACGACCCAAATGCAATTAAAAAAAATGACATTCCAGAAATTGGGAAACTAAAAAGTTAAATTTGGACAGTATTTCTTAATAAGTTTAATTTAAAAATACGATTATGTTTTCCATCAAATTTTATCATTTTTATTATAATTTCGCATTTTAAGATTGAACAGAGAAAGTTATCGAAATAATAATCCAAACAATAAATATTTAATACGTCAGGTTGGAGTGTCGGGCAATCCTGTGACGTATATCGGCTAAAGCGTAGTGATGGGGCACGCGCAATAGTCGTAAACCTTCGTGAGTCCGATCCCCTCCTCAGTCTTTTCGGGTGCTCCATGTTCCCCGTTTCACAGTGCGGAGTGGAGAACTGCACAAAACGCAATGTATCTCCGCCATTGTTACCGAGTAGAACTACGCAAAGTTCTATCGAAATACATTCGGTTTTATCGTTATAAACCGACTTTAAATGCAGAATAACGTCACCGAATTAACGCAGAAACTACTACGAGCACTGGATAGCAATTATAATGTAAGCTAATACCGCTTTTAATGAAATTTCGACAATTTTATCTGTATTGGATTGTAATGCTCTAAACCAGGAGGACGAGAGTACTGTAATAAGTCACATTTTCGTGAAAATGTTTGAAAAAGAAGTTTCAGCTCTCCAAAAATGGTTATTAATGTAATTTTAAAGCAAATTTGGCAGTGTAACCGTTATTTTCGATCTAAATTGACCCATCAAGAAATTGGTTATTTCGTAACGAATTTTTTTTATGAATTCGAGTTTTGTGGACAGTGCTCATGATAGAAGTTCTATTAAGTTTTTATATAATATAAGTCGTCGTTACATTAAACATTTTTATGTTATTAGCTTAAATAGTGAAAAATTGTCCGTAATTTGACATTAATCCAGTACAGGTAGAGGAAGTTGTCCAGCAGAATGTGTCCATTTGAATTTCTAAACGCCAGACATTATTTGTTTAGGTCATCGATATGCCAGCCGTCATCGAAATTATATCCTTATTGGAAAAAGTTGCTATTACCAAAGAACTGCTGGAGGTAAATTTTAATTTATTTTTCGTAGATAACCTTACTTTTGACGCCCATTCTTTAGGTCACCTAAGCAATAGAACCTAGTGCTTTAAGATATTAGTTGTCCTTATTTCAACAATTCCTATATTAACAATATTACATTACTACTTTACATCATTAATCACAAAGTTCTATATTTCTTTTAGTTACAAATACAATTTCATACATTTTTTGAACAGTTCATTAAACACCCCTGTAATTATTATTATGAATTCAAAATTGACAAATATATATTTTTTCATTAGTTTTCTTGTTTTTTTTTCTCTTATAATTTTTTATTAGCTTTATTTATTTGAGAAATTTACCAGCATTTACTGTTTTATTATATGTTTATGATTTGTCTTATTTATTTACATGTACATATATAATTAGTACTATTTTGGTTTTCCTCTTTTAAGATTGTAATAAGGATATATGTTTACATAGTATACTTGAACCCATTTCTGTATCTATTTATATATCCTATTAGGCCTACGAAATTTTANTTTTTTTTAGTTAGAATTTCATTCATCGAATATGGATTGGAATGATTTTTATAATGAATGTATACCAAGAAAATGCCTTCCTAGCGACTATGGCGGTACGCTACCATCGGTTGTGGAATTACATGAACAAAATACCAATAAACTACAAAGTTTAAAAGGCTTCTTTGAAACAGAAGAAAATCAAAGATGCAATAAAATTTAGTATATTTTTTAACAGAGCATTTTGTTACGTATGTATTTGGTTTTGCTAATAAAGGATTTCTTAGTTTTATAAAATTTGAATTTTATTTTAAATTAGGTAGTTGGTGCCATCTACATTTTCCGAGCTGGAACTTTTATGCAAATTTCGGTATCAAAAAAAATGACAGCTGACTTTGACGGTTAAAGTTCGTATTTTTGATGTTAAAATTAATAATCAAAGGTTGATACATTATTAATTTTTGTTACAACTGTATTACACGATTCAGATTAATTTTTATTATCCACTTATCGTTAGCATCACATTTTGACATTTGTTCGCGTTTCAATTTCAGTGCCAGCTGAACAATAGTGGTTGTATGTTCCAGTACCTATGTTTAATATTGAAATATGATTGAAATGCATACCGCAGCTGATGGTGAAATGAAGCCATTTACTCTTAATCGTATTGTTTTTATGTGCCCCTTAATTACTAAATTAATGAAATATACAATAAGTAAGTATATGATTATATCAATTATTGACATTTAAAAGAAAACTGTTATTGTAGGTTAAAAACTGTTTATCATTTTGGCATAAGAGCTTTTTTAAGTACCGTAGCTATTTAGGCACGGTAATTTTCTTCAAGATGTACGAATCTCCGAATTCTTTGCAAGATTTATGCCTGGATACCGTTTGTGATAATTTATTGGAAATTTTCGACGTTTTCTACGAGAATGTGGAAGAAGAAAAAGTAGAAAATGCTACTGTTAAACAGTATGGTGTCAATAAAAAATTTAAATTTAAAGATAATGAATTGTTTCTGATAAAAGAATTATCAGAGATGCTGTTTAATAAATTGGGAGAAAAGAACCTAATATGTGATTCAACTTTAAATCTGTTCTCTGCGAAAAACACTAAACTTCAAAGAGTCAAGATAAAAAGTCCTAGGAAAATTACAATTGAAGGCTTAAAGATTCTAAAAGAACATAAGTTATTGGAACTAGAATGTACAGACCTTAAGAAATTTAGCATAAATTCTATATTAGGTAAGTGTCTATTATATTGCTAATAATTGATAGATATAGTCACAAGAAGATATATTTATTTACATTTTATTTATTTATTTATAATATAATATGCAGTAGGTATAGATCCACTAGTACAGGACTGATAAAGAAAATTAGACTTATTCTAAGAAAATAACAAAAACTTAATTTTTATATAATAAAGTTATGTCCATTTCAGAATGCCTTAGTGATTGGTCATTCCAAAACTTAGTATGCTTAAATCTGTCAAGATGTACATTTATAAATTCCCAGAGACACAGCTTTGTTCCCCCTTTGACAGAATTAAGAAACCTTAAAAGTTTAAGCGTGGCTTATACTGAATTCAATCAGTATGCTCTAAAAATATTATGTGAAGATTTGAAACAACTTGAAAAATTGGACATTTCTGGAACTGTGGTCACCGATCTTACACCTCTTCTGCTACTCTCTGACAAACTGACAAGTCTTATGATATGTGTAAGTTGTTTGTTATCTTTCTTTCTTTCAAAAATAGTTGCATATAGTGAAATTATAATTTGAGTACATGTAGGTATATAATTTATTAACTATCGTTAAATTAGGGAAATACCTGAAACATTTAAATTAATAACTGTTTTATTTAATAGGACTTGCGCTTATTAAAGAAAATGACCGAAGTAGTGACGAAATTGCACAATTTACGTCATTTGGACGTGAGCGTAGTTTATGATCAGTTAGATGGGACAGACCACACAGTCACTGAAATCCTGGAAAACTATACGTCTTTACCCAACCTCATATCCCTAGATTTGTCTGGATGGCGCGAACTGATATCGAAAGACGCCTTGGAGAATTACATAAAAACTCACCCTCACCTTAAATACCTTGGCATTGTTTTAAACTTGGTGGCCTTCGAATCACCGTTCTCCGACCCTAACGATCCCCGTTTTAACCACGACCTCATGATAGCCGGTCTTGGAAGCGAAAACCAAATCAAAATGACCTTAAAAAGGCACTTTGAAAGAGAACTATACGTCCAAAAGGCTCTTTATCACCTGTTTCAATTAACGAGCGCTTTCCATGAGGCTCGAGCAGATATCTTTGAGTTGGTACTTCCTTCCATGGCTGCGCACCCTAACAAATTTGGAGTTCAAATGGCTGCAACCGCCTGTTTATATAATTTGACTCGAGGCGAAAATTCAAAACACATACACCCTAAATTACTGAGCAGGGGAGTCAATCTAACATTAAGTGCCATGGAACATTTCCCAGGAGATTACCAATTGCAAAAGAACTCTTTGTTAACCCTCTGCAGCGACAGGATCCTGCAAGAAGTGGCATTCGACAAGTTCAGATGCGCCAAATTGGTTCTAGATTCTTTGTGCGCTTTCGATGAGGTCAATATGAACCGGATGGCCGTAGCCATTTGTAGTATCCTAGCGGCTAAGATTTCTACCAAAGAAACGTCGGAATTGGGTGCAAGACCTATCTACATGAAGAAACTACTAGCTATGGTTCAAAATAGAGTAGAAACAAACCTGGCTGATATTACTCTCAAGTTTACTCTCAGTGCCCTTTGGAATTTAACCGACGAGAGTGCTGCCACCTGTACAGTTTTTTTAGAACAGGTATTTATTATTTTTATGCAATTTAAAAAAAATACTATATACGTAATGAAAATGTTGTGATGTACAGGGTGGTGCCAGTTTGTTCATGAACGTTCTGAAAACGTTCCAGAAAGACAGTGCCATAGAGACCAAAGTTCTCGGTTTGCTGAATAACATCGCCGAAGTGAAAAAACTCCGTCACAGTCTAATGTTAAATTCTCTTATTGAAGAGTTAAATTTGTTGCTCAAATCGGAACACATGGATGTTAGTTACTTCGCGGCGGGGATTATAGCCCATCTGGCATCGGATGGCCCGGCCATGTGGACAGTGACCAACTACAGCCGGGAGCAGATGCTTTCTGAACTTGAGAAAGTTGTATCAAACTGGAAAGTTCCCGAAAATGAGATGGTTGCTTATAGGAGTTTCCGCCCCTTTTTCCCTCTTTTAATCAAAGATATGGACTACAGGGTGCAGCTTTGGGCCGTCTGGGCTATACGTCACGTTTGCACCAAAAACCGTAAGTTGTTGAAAGTTTTCTAAAATAGGATAAATAGAAGATTTAATCAAAGGGACCATAAATAGGGTAATTTTAAGCAAAACAAGTATATTATTATACTTATACTAAGAAAAGATGAGACATAACTTCAAGGTCAATTTGCCTATGTTACGCCCTTTAATGTAACATCGCCCAGTACATTATCACGTGAATATGAAAGAACTTTTTTGCAAAATATTTATTATTAAAGTCTATTTATAAGTCTGCATTATTTACTTATGTATTTGACTTACTCCTTTGTCTTGTATGTTGAAAAGGATAGTGATTAATTATAACATCAGCACGTTTTATTACTAAACTCAGATAAAAATGTCTTTATTAAATTTCTTGTAGGTTACATTAAACTAGCTCCATTTTGTCGTTTTTCTGCTTTCTGCTCCATTGAAGATTTATAAACCAGTCATTAATAAGGATATAAAGTATGTAGGTACTTCAAAGTAATTCAACAATCAAAATTGTTTGTTTAAAAGAAAATTTAAATTACCTAGAAACGTTAATAGGAGTCTTGTAATTTTTGATATACTAAAAGTTTTGTTTTATCTTTCATTTTAGCAAATCGATACCTTTTCATGCTTAAAGAAGAAAAAGGAGCGATTTTGTTGCGAGAACTCCTAGAATGTGACGTTACCCACCCCACTATAAAGGACATTTGTCAAAAGATATTCAGCAATTTAGATAATAAATGAACTTCATGTGATAAACGCAATTAACTTTATTTTTTTACTACGTTACTACATAAAACCCTTGGACTGAACGTTCTGTATATAATTGCAAAGTAAAACAGTCAAAAATATAAGTGAGGCGAAGCGAATGTGCGGTCAGTTGTTGCCCCCTTCTGTTGTTATTAGAGACTTGTAAAAAAGAAACAGGCATTGGTCGCACTATCATTTTGTTTCTTTCTGAAGGGTAGTCTCTTTTTTTAATGGTAATGCTCAATCCATCACTGACAGACGTACAAGAGAAGCAAAGCGAATATGCGGTCAGTTGTTAAGATGTTCTGTGGTTATTAGAGGCGTACAGAAAAGAAACAGGTATTGGCCGTGCTATCACCTTCCCTTTTTCTAAATAGTAATCACTATTGTGATGCTAATGTTTAGTCCATCCCTGACCAATCTCCGAGAAAAGAAAAGGGAATAAACGGTCAGTTGTTATCTTATTCTGTAGTTATTAGAGGCTTGTAGAAAAGAAACAGGCATTGGTCGCACTATCGCTTTGTTTCTTTCTGAAGGGTTGTCTCTTTTTTAATGCTAATGCTCAATCCATCAATGACGGACGTACAAGAGAAGCAAAGCGAATATGCGGTAAGTTGTTAACATGTTCTGTGGTTATTAGAGGCGTACAGAAAAGAAACAGGTATTGGCCGTGCTATCACCTTCCCTTTTTCTAAATAGTAATCACTATTGTGATGCTAATGTTTAGTCCATCCCTGACCAATCTCCGAGAAAAGAAAAGGGAATAAACGGTCAGTTGTTATCTTATTCTGTAGTTATTAGAGGCTTGTAGAAAAGAAACAGGCATTGGTCGCACTATCGCTTTGTTTCTTTCTGAAGGGTTGTCTCTTTTTTAATGCTAATGCTCAATCCATCAATGACGGACGTACAAGAGAAGCAAAGCGAATATGCGGTAAGTTGTTAACATGTTCTGTGGTTATTAGAGGCGTACAGAAAAGAAACAGGTATTGGTCGCACTATCACCTTGCCTCTTTCGAAATAGTAATCACTATTGTGATGCTAATATTTAGTCCATGACTGACCAAAATCTAAGAAAAGCAAAGCGAATGTGCGGGCAGTTGTTATCCCATTCTGTGGTTTTTAAAGAAAAGAAACAGGTATGGACCGCACTATTGCTTTGTCTCTTTTTGAAGGGTAGTCTCTTTTTGATGCTAATCCTCAATGCATCACTGATAAACGTACGAGAGAAGAAAAGCGAATGAGCAGTCAGTTACTAGCGCGTTCTGTGATTATTAAAGGCTTACAGAAAAGAAACAAGTATTGGCCGCACTATCGCTTTGCTTCTTTCTGGAGGGTAGTTACTCCTAAATGCCAATGCTTAATCCATCATTAGCCAAGGTGCGAAAAAAGCAAAGAGAATGTGCGGTCAGTAAATGTCCCCGTCTGTAGTTATTAGAGGCTTGGAGAAAAGAAACAGGTATTGGTCGCACTATCGCTTTGTTTCTTTCTGAAGGGTAGTCTCTTTTTTAATGGTAATGCTCAATCCATCACTGACAGACGTACAAGAGAAGCAAAGCGAATATGCCGTCAGTTGTTAACATGTTCTGTGGTTATTAGAGGCGTGTAGGAAAGAAACAGGTATTGGTCGCACTATCACCTTGCCTCTTTCGAAATAGTAATCATTTAGTCCATGACTGACCAAAGTCTAAGAAAGGCAAAGCGAATGTGCGGTCAGTTGTTATCCCATTCTGTGGTTTTTAAAGACTTAGAAAAGAAACAGGTATGGACCGCACTATTGCTTTGTCTCTTTTTGAAGGAAAGTCTCTTTTTGATGCTAATGCTCAATTCATCACTGATAAACGTACTAGAGAAGCAAAACGAATGTGCGGTCAGTTGCTAGCCTGTTCTGTGGTTATTAAAGGCTTGCAGAAAAGAAACAGGTATCGACCGCACTATCGCTTTACCTCTTTCTGAAGGGTAGTCTCTTTTTGAAATTAATATTCAATCCATCACTGACCAACGCACGAGAAAAACAAAGCTAATCTGCGGTCAGTATTTATCTCTTTCTGTGGTTATTATGGCCTGGCAGAAAAGGAAAGGTATTGACCGCACTATCGCTTTCTAGAGAGTAGTTTTCTTAAAACTGTATATATTTTGTCAACACGAAGTTTATTAATGTAAATGTAATTCAGAATAATTCTTTTCTAAAAATAATTTAACCATAGGTTGGTCTTATGCATTTAACTAGAGTAAAGCTGCACTGTATCCGGATTTTTTTCCACTATTTACAAGAAGGTTTACCCGTAAAACTCAGCAGAGTTCATGTTTTAAATGCCACGATTGTAGATAAAGTTATGACGATAATGAGACCGTTTATAAAAAAGGAAGTACTGGAATTGGTAAGATAATATTTTTTTTAAGTGAATCACCTTGTATATATTCTTGCATATCTTTGTTCATATAATCAACGTCTCGCATAGGCTTACTGTAAAGTATAAGTCTCATTTTAATACTTTCACCTGCTAATTGTATAACTGGTACCATTCAACATGTTCGCGAATATTTTATTCTTACTTGTTCTTAATGAATGTTATGTAACAATTTTCATGTCTTGTCCCAATTATTTATTTAGCGTTTTTTTTTTCTCAAAAGAAAAACAAAATTTAGAGTTCACAGCAAATATATATTTTTATAATTTATATCTATAGATAAAGAAAGTATTTTTTATTTTTAAGAAAAAATTTCGTGAATCCTAAGAGATTTGTAGGACACCCTGTATAATAAGTTTCATAAAAAAATAGTTTATTCAAAAATTCAAATAGTGCTTAGAGCACCCTCATTGCACTCCATGATTTTGTTTGCCTAAGC